ATGCCCTGCCTCAAACCCCATTTCTCTCAGGGACTCAAAGTCAAAGTGCTTCGAACCATCCTAAACGTCAGGGGGCTGCATCAGTGTATGGTCAGCATCTTAAAGGAAAGGACCCCAAGGTTTTAGAGATCAGTAGATCAGGCAGATTTGTGACCAAGACATCTTCAGCATTGCTTAGGATAAGTGGATAGACTAGCAGATCATGGGCTGTTGGCAATCCTATACTCACCATCTCCCAGCTGGGCCATTTCAGTCTAAAAGTAGCTGTAGTTTACACACAGTTGAAGTTGTAGCCCCTGCAGAGCATATTGAACAGCATTTGAGGTGACAAAATCAGAAGTCACACTCATGAAACTAGAAAGGAAAGGATATTACCCTCTTACTAAGAGCTGATGGCAAGGAATATCCCACCCCTGAAAGTCAGCAGCTGCTGGCTTAATGCAAAGTGAACATTTCATGAGTCTTAACTGGAAATGATCCCTCTGTTTGCCCCCAGTTGGGGCGGGGGTGGAATTATAATTTCTGCCCCGATTTACACTGCTACATGAGCACTATTTGTGTTTTCTCTTCACCAGTATTACAATGACAGTCAAATACATTTGGTGGAATTTTAGGCATGTATCACATGCTGCTTATCTGCTGTTTTGAGACTAGCCCAAGGCATGGACTAAGTAGGTGTTAGTAGTGTAAATCTGGAGACACTGCACTGAAGTCAATGGGAAACTGAACTCAAGCCTTGGGTCATGGGCTGGAAGGAAGTGCATTGAACATCTGGGGTGGGGAGGAATGCATGAGTCACCCTGCAGCATCCTCCCTCTGGCAGATGCTTGGTGCAAAGTAAACATATTCTGGAGAATTTTGGTACACAGCCTTTTCTCAGAAAGAAGGGGGCCTTTAAAGTCTATATGTGTGGGTGAATGTATAAAAATACTGGGTAGATTCCACGGCTCACAGATCAAAGCAATTCACTTAGTATGATGCTACTGCAGATGCTGTAATTGCCTTAAGGCTGAGATTTGCTAGCATGACTAATGATTTTGAGTCTTCTATTTGAGACACCAGTGAGAGCTCTGATGTTTTGGGTGCTTTTCCCTCTGTCCTTGGACATAGTAGAGACTTATTTATACCATAGAAGTAACCTTCTATTCTGCCTGATGCTGGGACAGGAGGAACAGCCCCCAATGGGACCGACTATAGTGCTCTCCCAAGCTCACTTCCATAAATGGCTCTCTCAATATAAATCAACCTTCTGGGTTAGCAAGTTGCTGAGTGAATTTTGCTGTTTGCTTTCTTTGCTAATAAACTTCATTTCTCATTAAGGTGTTTCCCGTCCATGGCTGTTTTCGTGTGAAAACATTTTTCATTTAGCAAACAATTGTTTGCGCAGCTATATTCCCAAGTGGGATTAGCTCTTAGTGTGACTGCTTTCTTTCCTCAATCATCTGGTATTATTTCTGATCCCTGTCTGGATGAGTGCGTGGTGAGTGTGAATAATAAACGGGGAGAGGATACGGTCAGGCTAACTAGGCCTTTGTTTCACTTAGAGGCAGGCTGGGGAGCAGGCTCTGGAGCCAGGGCTGGGTAGGTTGGCAGGAACAGGGAATTTTAATTGATATTTTAAACCTTCCTTCCTTTGGCCAATTTGAACCAGACTCCCTGAGATGTTAATGTAATATTAGGCAACTGTGCTATTGTTGACCTGATCAGATTTAAAACAAATTTTCTCTCATTGAAGTAGCCGAGTGTCCCACAAGTCCTTCCCATGAAGAATGTGACTCAGTCATTATCTAGTTTACTTAAATACTTCTGTGCTAGGAATCCAACCGGGAATTTTAGGCAGCTATAGATGAAAAATATGTGATTGTGTACATTTGATTATCTTATTTAACTATGTTTCGCTAGAACTATGGCCTGGGGGTTTGTAAACATGGACCCAAAACTCACAGTGTTGTGGGTGTTAGGTAACATGAAGTTTTTCTGGTGACCTGAAGAACATACTGCTGCAGCTGTCTACTTGTCCAGAATTTTGTGGCTGGATAAGGAGCTTCTGGAGAAGCTGTGCTATTTGGCTTTTCTCATCTACTCGTTTGCAGTAAGAAGAAACAGGTGTCTTACTGACTCATGTGGTTACATCTTTAATTGAGCTTGACAACTACTGAAGTTTGGCTGAACGCTTTTTAATATTTTTAAACATACCAGTGTTGAGGGTTGCCTTCATGCCACCTCCCTCACTACCCCACGGGGCAGGGAGGAGCTTTGGGGCACCCACAGAAATGTCTCTCCTTCTCCTTTCCCTCCTTTGTACGCCTCAAGGAGCACACATGCAAAACGACCATGGGAACCCTGCATGCTGGCCAGGCTGAGGCCATTCATACCCGGTGCCATGTGCTCCTCATGCCCTTGTGTGGTTGCGGTATCGTGATCTCCAGCTAGGGAGAGGACGGTGTTGCTATGGGTTGGACACTGTAGGACTCCACAAGTTGCAGCTGGCTCAATCTTTTTCATTGTTTCCCCCAGGTGGGAAGGGGGTGGGTTCAGTTCTCATTAGAGGGTACGGGAGGATTTTGCTGGGAAAGATGAGCCCTTTGACAATAGGAGGCAGAGGTGACAGGTGATGGCTGAGCACAGTTGTTTTAGTGGGAACTAACTGAATCTCAGAAACAGGTAGAGAGAGGTTTACTTTCCAGAAACAATGAGCTGATGGTGAGTAATGGAGAAGATGGTCGGTGGATGAGGGATCTGGGTTCAGAGGTGGGAGGAGAACAGCAGGGGTATTCTTCAAGGAAATTAAGTCAGCTTCCTACTCCTGCCCAGAGCAGACACCAACTGAATCACATCCACGGCACCGTCTCCCCCCCGTCTCACTCCAGCACAGCCACGCACTCACATGTAAGCCTTGTAGTTACTGCCGATTTTCTGGATTCGGATGTCGTACTTGGAGTCAATGAATGGCTCGGTGGTGGCGTAGGTTTTTGCCATGGCTACTATGCTGGCCATGTCCCGGAAGTCGTGCTGGTTCTCAACTTTGACCTTGATTGCCAAAATCCAGTGAAAAAGTGACAAGAGCAAAAAGAACAGGAATACTTTGTGAGTAAAAGTCATCTCCGTGCCTGAATAGCACAATGTCAGTTAAAAACCACACAGATGGAGCTGGGGACAGAGCAGGGATTGTGTGATTTAAAGAGAGAAGTTCCCCAGGCCAACCCAGCTCAGAGCAAATTGACCCCTTTCTCCTTCCTCATGCACAAGCCCTGGTAAACCTGGCACCAAGGAGACAGCTAGACCTTTGCCCAGATGGCTCTTGCTAATGCTCTTTGCTTTCATGATACTTCAGAAAAATATTTGATCTCTTAAGGGGCATTACTGCATTCAAACATTGGAACTGCTATTTCCCATGTTGGGATGGATGAAAATAGAGTATTTTGGGTGGTCAGGAAATAGAAACCAATGCCAGGAAATCAACAAGAGAGCTGGTTGTCTGCCACCTCTAGGCTTCAGTTCCCTGGCATTTCACGTTACTCCCCCTCCAGAGTTTCTTTGAGGAGCGGTGCAGGTCTCCTGGCTGGAAGCAAGCTCTGAAGGAAAAGGATGTCTCTGGGGGAGCCTGTGATTCTCGTGGAGATTTGTGTGAGTGTGATGCCACGGGCACGTGTGTGGGACAGCTGGTTGGGTGTTAGACTTGAGCCGCACTTGGAAATGAGAGGGCAGTGACCTATGAGCTGGAGATTTTCTGAGAAGCTGGCTTTTCACAGATTTGTATTCGGTTATGAGAAATGTTCTGTATCTCATTAAAAACAAAAAAAAGGAAGAAAGAAGGACCAAAACGATGGAAGCTCTAATGATACAATCAAATCTCTGCAAAAGCTAAGTGGTTTGGGAGAGGAAAACTGAACAAGCAGGTAGCAAGAGCATAATGGACAACTTCACCTCATTCATACTATAAAACCCGTCCTTTAGTCTATTGGCAAAAACCTGCTTTGTGCATCAGAGAAACCCATGCAATTCTTGTTCCTTAGAGCTGGACGGATGCGGGAAGGGTGGGTTAATTAGCGGAAAAAAGACCAACCTTGTGTGAAAAGGGTGAGCAAGTGAGTGACTTTCTTCACATATTACCTACACTTTGTACATTGGTAACACTTCGACACCACAGTTGGGGATTGCAACCCCACTTTGCTAAGTGTGTACTTGCTCGTGACAACTGGCCAGTCTCTGCCCCAGAAGAGTTTCCCGGTTTTGTGTGTGTGTGTGTGTTAAAGGAGGGTGATGCCAGACTATGTGGAGCCAACTGAAGGAAATGTGTGTGATGGTATTTAGTGTTTCTTCGCAAAGAACAAACAAATGGCTTCACATATCTGCCTTCAACCATGAGAGGGCAGGAGCCATCTTCACTAGAGAACAGAGGACAAGCTTGTTTCTAATCTGTTTTATTCTGTTTAGACGGTTTTCTATAAGTGCCAGCTGTAACAAAATCCAAAGATACAGCCACATCCTGGTGCAGAAAAGCTCTTGAGAGCTGGACAGGTTGTGGGGAAGGTGAAAAGTGCAACTAGTTTGACCCATGACCATTTCTAGATGCCTGAATAAGAAGAAAAAAGGCCTGGTCTTTGCTTCTCCTTTTGCTGAATGCCAAATACCCCTAGGCCTCCTCCCTTTTGCTATGGTGAAGGTTGTGCTCTTGCTATTCAGGGACTGCTGAGAAAAGAAGCAGAGGAAGACGACAGTTGTCTGTGGGGTGGGAGAGTAGGAAAAAAAAAAAGAAATAACAAACACAAAGGGGAAATATAAAGGCAACCATTGCATGTCATCCAGGAGGAGCAGCCTTGCTCTGGGCTGTGTTGTTCCCCTCTGTGTCTGAGCAGGGTTGCGTGCAGTGCTGGCTGCTCCTGGTGCAGCAGGCCAGGGTGATGCAGTAGGAAAGCCCTGGAGGCAGTGGGGGGAGCGGGAGAGGGGAGCACCACGCACAGGGAGAGCCCCCAGCCTGGGCACGGCTTGCAAAATCCCCGGGGGGGTTTTGCTGTGTTGGGGCTGGGTACTTTTGTTGCACTGATAAGAGCAGCAGTGGGCTGAATGACATCAAGCAAGAGAGTCCCACCCAGATAAGATGATTGCAGGAGGGACTGCATGGGCAGGCGACACATGGTGTTAGGACATATTCTCCCGGACCCTTTTAGCAACAGGAAAAGGCAAAAGCCATTATATAATGACCTACTTGGAACAAGGACGTTTGTGGGATCTGAAACAAAGTGCTGCACTTGTGCAACAGCTGTCTTTGGGCCCTGGCTGAAGCATTGGCATTCCCAGCTCAGGAACATTTGTCCCAGAGGCAGAGGAAGGGATGCTGCTTCCCTCTCCTGATTGGGAAGACCATATTGTTATTGCTAGAAAGGAGCTGTATGCTTGTCTTGTTAAATGGGATTCTTCCTCAAAAATACAGCATGCTATGGAAAGGAAGGGTCCATTTCTTCCTCCTCTCCATCACCCCCTCCTTATGGGGAGAGAGGGAAAGCACTTGAAGATGTTTTCTCCAATGGGCCTGAGGATTTTTGGCTGGGTAAATAGTTAAAGAGGGGGGGACTCAACGAGGACACAAAGTAAGAAATGAAAAACAAAGATGACTCCCACAGTGCTACACCACTGCACAGTCCTCAGGAAACAGCTCTGTCATCTTCCCTGGCCCGTGCCAGAGCCCTTCCCATGGACTTTTCAGAGAAAGCATCTCACAGAGGTCCCCTTTTAGGAGATCACGGCCTTTTTTCCCACCAGGCATCAAAATAATCACCACACCAAAGCTGAAATCTGAGCCACCGATTGTTAATCGTTAGAGCCAGCCAAATTTGACAAAATAACAGCCGTGTCCTGGGTTAACGCTAGTTTAGTCCAGTGTACGATTATTACTTCATAAACAGGAAGCACTTGAGTTACGGTAAAATTAGATTTATTTTCCTGCCTTATCTATCAAGTCCACCATTTTATTAGCTTTCTACTTTTAAATTTTGTATAATTCATTTCCTCCTGCCTTGTAACCCTTTTACATGTCAATAAAATATCCATTCTCCTAACAGGAGAAAAAACCCCAGAGATTATCAAAGCGAGGGTGGATGTAGTGTGATGCTAGAGGGCATTATTTAAGAAGGGGCTATTAAAAATCATTCTAGAGCAAACAGTTACCAATTTACCTAATAAGGGGTAAATCTGTCTTCTAAAATGGCAGGTTGGCCAATGCATGAAACTGAGAAAAGAAGTTGGAAAGAGATCAACAGGAAGCCATTTCTCTCTTTTTTTTTTTTGCAACCTTCTTAGGATAAATGCAATATCCCATTAGCTGCGTAGAGGAGTGCAAACAGCGAGTGCAAACACAGCCCCTGCCCTGGCGGCCTGTTTGCTTAGCTGTGCTGGCTGTTTGAGCAGCAATAGACTCATTCTGGAGCCATCAGCTGCTGTTTGCTGTAGCGTTTTAGTGACCTGTTGTGAAGAGTTTGGGCCTGTGTATTGACAAATGCCTTTTCTGAGTAAGAAAGCTCCCCCGGAGAGTCCCTGCTTCCCTTCTGGCTCTCTTTAACTCAGGCACTGGCTGTGCCCTAGCACGCTGCCTGTCGCTGCAGTGGAGCGGGGATTCTGGCTGGACCCCTGGGGGCATGCTCACACAGATGTGACCGTCCCAGTGGTGGCATCTCAGAGGCTGATACTACTGCAGCTGGTGCCTGTTCCCATCCTCAGCCTGCCCAAGAAGCACTGATCTTGCTGCCCTTGGCTGGAGAGCAGTCTGAGGAACAGATCAGGAACAAACACTTCTGCCCCATCCCTGCTGTGGACCTTCTTTCGAGGCCTTCCTGCAAGACAGGATTTTGGAGAGTGGGTCCTGGCACTGTTAAAAAACCACCATGGGTATTTCCCAGGCAGTCTTAGCCAATCCTGAGACCTGCGTGAGCACAGGTTCCTGCAGTGAGGGACCTGGGCAGAAATTTCTGCTTCCTCTGTCTTGTAGTTCCTGAATCTACTGCCTCTTATATATCTCAGATGTTCCTGGATACCAGGGTCGCAAGGCTACAGCACTCCTCTCTCATCTTCAGCCTAAGCACTGCAAGGTATTGCCTCGAACTCCCTTTTGCTTTCGTTAGGTACGTGGCCATATGAAAAAATAGTCAGTCAGCCTAAGTGGCATAATTATAGTAGTCTGCTAGGGCTGCCCTAGCCTTGCCTCTCTGAGTGTCATCCAGAGTTAACTCTGCCTCACAGGTTAAACCCACACCACTTGAGATGGCTTGCAGAAGCAGTTTCTGTGTCCAAACTGGGGTTAGAGATTCAGCTGGAGGGTAAGTGTCCAAGGCTGAGCCAGGGCCGGGCTTGGCAACGTGGTGTTTAACTGAGTCTTGGTAGGCTTGTGAAAATGTCTGAGTGTTTTCCTCCAGAGGAAGTGGTGTGGCCACACAAAGCTTGTGATTTTTCATCCACCTTGACCTGTGCTTAGCTTTTCTGTAGTGACTTTGCCATTTTTGGACAGTGGGTCTTCAGGAATGGCTCTGCACAGAGAGTTTCCTGAGTCTCTCCTTCCCTCTACCCCAAATTATACTCCCCTTCTCAGAAAATACCCGACCCAACCGACACACATTCAGTTTAGGCCTAACTTTGACCCACCTCAAAATAATAAAGACACAACAAAGTCTGCATTTCCTTATTATCCTCACATTGAAGTTCTCCAGATGTTACACTGCCTTTAATGCATTAAGCCTTATAATCCCTGCTAACTTTCTAATGAAGAGCTGCTGTCAGCCCCGGGTCTTGGCAGCTTTGGTCCCCGATGCCCTGGATCAGTCACCGTTTTCTGTGTCCAGCAAAAGGTTACAGACTAATGTGCAAGAAATGGGGATGCTTTTGCTGTTTTCAAGACGGGTGGTACCTCCTCGCTCATGAGTCAGTGGGAATGCAGTGATTGGGCTGCTCTGTTGTGAATTTTACATGTCAAGTCATTATTTGTTCTCTGTGAAAGAAAATATTTGTTCCTTGACAAACCAAGGCAGTCCTTTCCCCTT